CCAACAGATCAGTGGTTCCAACTAAACTCGGGGAAACACGAAGAGTAGTTCGGCGTTCCGCACCTCACTCGACGACCTGACAAAGCCAACTGAAGCCTAGCGCACCCATGGTCATATTAGCAGTGTTCCAAAATGCGCTCTAACTTCAGGAGTAGAGGTTTCGTACCTTGGCGCCTTGGCGTTTGAATAGAGAGTTTTCGCAGACCGCGTTGCCCCCTCCGTTAACGTTTCAACTGCTCCTGCACGCCGATAGCCTTGACTGTGGAGTTCCCGTTATCGTAGTGGGTTGCGGAGGGCCTTGCGGGACGGCGAAAACGATCTACGAAAACTCCCTAATATCTACCCTCGTTTTACGCTACTGCTCTGAGTTATCACGTGATAACCCGCCGGAGTAACCTAAACCTCGCAATGACACACGCGTCATGATTATAGCAATAAAACGTCATAAAAAAAAACTACGGTGGAAATTTTCCGGGAAATTTTCCTGTCAATCGTACAACCGTACGAAATTGTCAAACTTCGGGAGTCTCCCGGGTAATCCGGGAGAGTTGGCAGGTATGCACTTGTCGTTCAGATGCTCTATTCTTTGCGCTTTCATTATTTCTCTTGTCAATTGGTCTCAAATCATATCTATTATGGAACAATTTTCAAAATGTGCTATGCAACCACAATCTTGACAGCAGACTCCCAAATGCTCAGCGATGACTCGGTGGTTATTATAAAAATGTTCCCTTAAACGATCACTCAAACACCTGCCAGTCTGGCCTACATACGTCTCACCACACTACTTATGTAGACCAGACTGGCAGGTGTTTAAATGATCGTTTAAAGGTGCATTTTTATAACACCCACCGAGTCGCCGTTGGACATTTGGGAACCCACTGTCCGGAGTGTGGTTGTGTAGCACATTTTGAAAATTGTTCCGTAATAGTTAAGAGTCGAGACCCATTGCCAAGAGAAATAATGGAAGCGCAAAGAATAGAGAATCTGAAGAACAAGTGTGTAAGTAGTCCTTCTATTGTGTTGTCGACCAAAAAGCTCCAATTTCTATCTTAAGGATAATAGTGAGGGAGAGGGATGACTTGTAAGATCTTCCTATTTTTGTTTTTTCTCCGTTTCTTTTTTTTTCTGTTCTTTGCTTCTCTCCTTGTATTTTGTGCTATTCTCCTTATCACACTCTGAAAAGTCAATCTAGACGTTGAAGAGAAGAACGAAGTAGTCGAATACACGAGAGTTGTAAGTTCAGCGCGTGTGCTTGTCTTCCTGAGTATCTGGTGTGCGAATGTTTTTCTGCGCTGTCACCATAGAATATGGTTCATCAACTCGCCCAAGCATCCATTCTATCATTTCTGCAACATTAAAATGACTCTGAAAGTGCGAGCACCTACAGGGTGTATTCACGCAAGTCTTGCAAGTGTTGAGTTGTAGGTACAGTCGGCACGGAATGAAACGCGAACAGTGGGCGCATGGTTTTCGCTAGATGCTGCACCACCTGAACCAGATGGGAGCTGCAAGAAGATGGCGCCTCCTTCGACGTGTTAGACTCTTGCTCAGTGCATCCAAACCTTCGGTGTTGCATCTCTAGGTGACTCAGCGTGGGTCGAAAACCATGCGCTCCTTGTTCGCGTTTCATTCCGTGCCGACTGTACAGTGCCCTGGTTGTGTCCATGTGCGATATATGACCAAATACCACAAGGACTAAAACTGCAAACTTCTCCGAAAACCAATGGGCGCGGCGGCGAACGGTAAAAGTGGTGGTGTTCGCCACTCTCGCCGTTTGTTTGTGTTTGTGTGTTGCTACTAACAAGCGCACCAATGGGAAGGCTTCAGCCATTATTGGGAACACTAAATAAACAAATACAAAATACAGATACAACACAGCAATACTGGATGCAATTAGTGACGCACTTCTGTTGGGGTTCTGTGGATATTTTTACAGCGTGTAGTTGGTGAGCCATTTCAAAGTTGCGATGAGTTGCTCGCTGTAGGTGAGCAATTTAGCCAGTGCAGTATGACTACTAGCCTGGAATCAACAACCTGCACCACGCAGTAGTGATACGCATGCCAGTACGATGCTTTCTAGAACGAAATGGACAGGGGTTCGGACTGAACCCAGGATCCCAGCGTTCTGCAGCGCAAGCTTTCGTTCCACGTGCTCCAAATGGTGTGCGCTTGCCCAGTCGGCCACCGACCCCCAACGCAAGGCAACGCAATGCACTTCTGTTGTAAACTCAGCATTCCGCTTACGAATGAAATGCGCAGTTTCCCTAAAGGCTTTCATTCCACGTGAGTGGCAACATAATTGCTAAAGGCCAGCCCATAAATGCAGTCTGTGTCAAAAACAATCCTAGCAGCAATAAGTTGCTATTATATTGCTAACCTTACCATGAACAGCCTTGGCAGTCTTTCATGAAGCCAGGACTTCAGCAGGGGAGACTGTCATTTTGTGTCGTCTCAGGTCACTCGCATCAGGATGGCGAAAGTGAATGCCAACATCTAATTGAGAAAGGCTGCAGTAAGTACAAGAGATGAAAACGCAGATTAGAATATATGATAAAAAATATCATGGACCAACTTGAAAAAGTGCACGAAAAGACAAGGACAAAAATACAGAAACACGTAGGACACAGACTGGTGTACATTCGCAACTCGATTGATATTACACAAAAGAAAATAAGAGGATGAGAGAAATCAGAAAGGCTTTACTAGGAGAATGCGAGCTTCAGGAACCGGGATGTGAGGCAAAGATGTCAGGTAGATTGTTTTACAGACACTCTAGAACTAGCAACAGCCTTTCCATGTAGTAAAGTGGTGAGTTCATTCTGATTGAACATTTTGAAAAATAGTACCCAAAAAACAAGGAATAAACGCTAGGAATACATACACTACATACGAGTGCAGACTCCCAACACACATACATTAGATAAAAAAAAAAAAAAAAGAATGCGTTAGGAGCTTTAACACAAGTTCGAACAGGTCCAAGTGGGCCGTGCTAATTCACCCATATGCATAATACTGTAAAACAAATTTGCTCGGCAGCTCAGGTAACCGACGGATGTGCGGACACCATTGGTTGCCCCATACTACGAATAAGAAAGGCCTAAAATAATTATCTTCTATGTTTTTATAGTATCTGCTAATTATTGACGTTTTTCCTAAGGATGACATACACGAGTAGTGTAAACAGTGCATAGGTATGTGACAATCCATCGTAGATTTTAGAGAGAGATTGAGCTCTCAATATGTACTAGCCATCTATCTGTTACGTTCACTAACATAAAAAATTATGTTTTCGTTTTTTTTTAGTCGGCTTTTGCTAACAGGTAAATCAGCGCGTTCAACTTGGGCCTGTGCTCGAGCCCTTCCGCATTTATATTTCTCCCTTCTCTGATTTATGCGAGTTCAGTTTGCGCTTGCATGAGGTCTATGTGTTACTTTCCCTGTCTCCTTGATTTTTTTGCGAACTATTTTTCAAGATGTTCCATTAGTACCAGCTCACCACCTTACTACAATCATGCAACAACTAAAAACAATTACAACTTGCACCATTCGCTAAAGGCAATACCAAACGAAAAAACAGGGATTTGGTGAGGTATGTCTAACACTATATACTTATACTGAAAAAAATATAGATACCAAAAAATGGCGAGACACTACCTTAATTCAGGACATGCTTGTAAATTTCCATAGAAGCTTGTAATTAATACTTGATAGCCTCTAAAAAACAGCAGTAGGAAAAGAATAAATGCTTCACATTTAAAGCAGCCTGAGTGTTTCTGGAGCTGTGAAATTCGTTGCGCGTACGTTGGATCATGCAAAACACGTGTACAGCAAATGATATTTAGAGCTCGACATTTCGCGAGGAATAAGTGCCGGCGTCAAAAATTATTTCGCGGGCACAAATTTTTGCGATCGGAAGTGGTGTGCTATGCATTAATAACCATGGGGTGAATTCATTGCGGCACCAATTTTTGGCAATTCTTTTCTGATTACGAATCGCGAAAATGAAATCGTTTGGAGACTACTGGGCGGTGGAAGCTACGGGCTTGCTCGATCAATCAATCGCTGCTTTTTGTCGGGCTCTCCGCATGCAATGGCGTCGGCGATGGAGGGGCACCGCACCGCGCGCTTCCAGACATTCTAGTTTATCAGTAAACAATACGGCAGAGGGAGGCCTTTGGGGAGGCAATCCTCCCCCATCCGCTTTGACCCCCACCCCCGCACCCCCCGTCTCCCAAAGAGTTCCGCCGCTACTGATGAACCTTGAGCGAGTACAGTCTCTGCATCGGGGAAAAAAGAAGAAAAACAGCCTCGCATAACACCATTCGCGCACAATTAATAATACTGGTAAAAGCAAGCGATCTACAGACAATAACAAGCTTTCTGAACGCAGGAAATAAGCTAGCCCTAACGAACAAAGAAACAAACTTACTTCGGTTCCCGTGCCATGATCTTGGCTGTTGAGCCGATCTGACGAAGTTCCACTTCTCACAGTCGCTTCCGTCTTTTTCGGACACGGTTGAAACTAAGGCAAACTCCACGCATCACGACTAATCGGGAAATTTAACCGTTATCCGGTCGTGAACGCAGTCATTCAAACTCACACGGCCGATACAGCCGGCAAACCGTGCGAAACATAGGCTGTTGATTCGATGAGATTGTTTTCGTATCTTCAAAACGTTTCAAATAAAAGGATAAGCAAACCGCATTATAAAACTTATAAAAGGAACAGCAATAATAAATTATTGCAGACGTCATTATTGCCATAATATTATGAATAAGTCGTGAACACGTAGCAAAATATTAAATACGAAACTAAGTGTACAACGGTTCGAAACGAATTCAGCAGACATGTATCCTTGCAGAAAACACGCTAGGACAACCTTGCGACTTTAGCCTGGAGAAAGAAGAAGACGCCGTTCGAAACGGACGTGTTTTCAATGCTCTCCAGTGAAAACGCCCCGGCCACAGGCCGGGGAACTGCTGAGGCTTCGGCCAGTACCACCGAAATGACGACTGAAGAGTACCGGACCGTACTTCCCCGTCTACCGACAGGTAATTTGAGTCTTAATTCTGTCTTTCTACACGGAGATCTCGCCGTGCGGCCATACCGAGCAACAGACTTCCGAGACGCTTTGCGGGACGTGGTTGACAGCCAGGATATCATCGGAATCGGCCAATTCCAGATGAGTCACGTCTGGATGGTGACCTGTGCAAGCGCTTTGGCCAAGGCCAAACTCGTGACCAAAGCAGAGCTCCGCGTAAAGGGGCGCCGATGCCTAATCATCGACCCGGACACCAGAGACGTCAAACTGAAACTTCTTTGGCTACCAGTTCACATGGACATCCAGCGTATCGAAGAAGCACTGGCGCCTTTTGGCACGGTGCGTTCGATTGTTAGAGAAAAATGGCGCTGCGCCGGAATGGAGCAGATGGAGACGCTAAACAAAGAAGTGACGTTGACCCTTCACGAGGGAATGAACGCGAGCCAGATACCGCACCAGCTCACAGTGTTCGGCTGTCGAAGCTTGGTGCTCGTGCCTGGCCGCCCTCCACTGTGTCTACGATGCTACCGAATCGGTCACATTCGTCGCGAGTGTAGGACCCCAAGATGCGGTGAATGCCGACGTTATGGTCATGCAACAAGTGAGTGCGTCACCACCTATGCGGACAAGCTCCGACAAGCAAGAAGCCCAGCTGAAGATGTCGTTTTAGAACACCTAATGGACATAAGCGAAGTGGTCGATGCAACAGGAGAAGTCATCCCTTCCAGCACCACTTCAGGGGTACAGCTGACAGCCCCGCTGCACCCACCACCTGACGTCAACCCTGAGTCGGCGACGATCACCGCTGAATCTGAAAAGCCTGAATCGTTTTTGCAAGACAGCGAATTCCCTCCTTTAAGTACGACGTCAACGGTTGCTTCACAGGATTCATTACATCGACGAGAGCGCTCGACCACGTCCAGTGGAACATCTGTCAAACGACCCGCCCCAACATCGGAAAAATCGTCTCAGTCTTCTACCACGGATGTCGCGATCGGCCACAACAGCGACGAGAGAGGCGACGCCAAACGCAGGCCAGCTGAGGTGTGTGAGCACCATTACAGTAAGTCCACACGGCCTGCTGACGTAGTGAAGGACGGTGATGAACTGCCCCCTTAGCTAACACCTCCCTGGCATTTCCTCCCCTGAGCTTCGCTACCATCAACGTCAGAGGACTGTGTTCGCGTGCACGTCAGTCCCAACTGTATAGGGTCCTCTCAAAGGAACAGATTGACTTTGTTGCCGTCCAGGAGACAAAGATATCGTCCGACGAGGACACAGCTCGTGCATTGGACCCTTTCCTCTCAAGTTATGAGGTATGTGTGAGCCACGCGGATGGCTTGTCGGGAGGGTGCCTTTTATTCTTAAAGAAGAGACTAGAATACTCTTCATTTTCACATGCTGTGGATGATAAGGGCAGGTTCATATGCTGTGATTTTGTCTTAAATGGTATTTCCTGGCGTTTAATTTGCATTTATGCCTACAATGATGTTCGACAAAGACGTTTGTTTTTTGAAAATCTCGCCCCTTTTCTTGAAACCGACAGGCAAGTTGTTCTGTTTGGTGATTTCAATTGTGTCTGTAATGTCAGTGATAGATCAGTGCCTCCTACAAGACCTGACAGCAGTGCTGACATACTAAACAACCTCACATACGACTTCCACCTATTTGATGTCGGTGCTTCTCAGGTTACTGCTAGTCGATTCACTCACATTGATGCTTCATGTAACGCGAGGCTTGACCGAGTTTACGTTTCAAGCCAACTTTTTTCGCATGTGGCTACTTATGAAGTAAAACCCATGTCCTTTTCTGATCATTGCCTTGTAAAGGTTCGTATTGGGGCAGACGTACGTAATAAGTCACGTCCAAAATGGGAATTATGGAAATTGAACACAAGGCTTCTTGGCAGTGATGATTTTCAAAAACGTGTTCGTGAATGTTTTAACAATATGTCAACGAACGAAAAATTCGGCATTTTCGCCCAATGGGACTCATTTAAACAAGAGGTCAAAAATGAAGCGATTGAATTTGCCTGTATTGCGTCTTTTCACGCAAAGAAAGACGAAACTGCCCTTTTGCGAAACCTAAATAGCCTTCACGAATTGGAATGTGAAAAATCTGGTGAGTTTCAGGAAGAAATCATTCTTATCAAAAGTCAGCTGCAGCGCTATGAGCAAAATCGCTATAATGGTGCACTGGTACGTTCTAGGTGTAGGCGTTTCTTGTCATCTGAGACACCCTCGCGGCGTGCCATTGATGATGAAAGACGCCATGGGCTTTCCAAAAAAAATCAAACTTTTGGACTGCAACGGAACCCTCACAACCAACGATGTTGATATAATGCGCACATTCGAATCCCACTACAAAAACCTATTCCAGAAAACGCCATTTTCCAACAGTCAAATGACAGACACTTTGGTTTCCATGTTGCCTAAAGTAAGTGAGATCCAACGCGAACTACTTAGCGGACCAGTAACGCTGGAGGACATTCGGAGTGCGATAGATGAGTTACCTAACTCTAAAACGCCAGGACCGGATGGACTCCCAGCTGAGTTTTACAAGGAGCATAAAGAACTACTGTGCCCTTTCTTACACAAAGTATTTCTTGAAGCTTACGATAGTGAACGCTTACCACCATCTTTTTATAGCAGCCATACAGTATTAATCCCCAAAAGTAAGGATACAGATAAACTTATACACGTAGAAGGATATCGCCCTATTACTCTCTGCAATGTGGACTATAAGATATTCGCTAAGATTTTGACAAAACGGCTTCAGTTCGTCGCTTCTAGTGTTGTTGGTGACCATCAGACATGTGGAATTAGGGGGCGAAGCATACAGACCAATATACACGTCGCACGTTCGGTCATAGAGAGCAGTACTCGGCATAACAACCAGGTCGCCATAGTCCAAGTAGACTTGGCGAAAGCCTTCGACCGCGTATCTCATGACTTCCTTTTCGCCATTCTTAGACACATAAACCCGGGAACAACGTTGTTGAAAGGAATCGAACTATGCTACCGAAGCTGTGCTACCCGTCTCATTGTTAATGGTTCACTCTCGACTCCTATAAATTTAGAATCGTCTGTTAAACAAGGGTGTCCTTTATCCCCTCTTTTGTTTGCTCTTTACTTGGAACCTCTTTGCTTGAGTGTACTTTCCAACCCTACAGTGGACGGTTATCATTTTTATTCCGCGGAAGTAAAAGTGTTAGCCTACGCTGACGATATAGCGTTTTTCTGTGCTGATAAGAAAAGTGTCGATAATGTCTTTACCTTAACCCAGGCATTTTGTGAAGCATCGGGAGCGTTGGTAAATAACTCAAAATGCGTTGGCTTCTGGTGCGGCCAGTGGGCCACAACACCTTCGAAGTATGCTGGTATTTCGTGGAGCTGTGTAGCTCCTCAGTATTTAGGTGTACCGTTGAACTGCATTCGAAACAGTGGCCATTACTGGTCTGAGCGTGCGGCAAAGATCAAACGTCAAGCCAATATAATGAAATCAAATCGGTGGTCAATCTTTGGACGCGCAAAAGCATGTAACATTTTCCTTGTAGCGAAACTCTGGTACGTGCTCCAGGTGATTTGCTGTGCGAGAGGCCATATTAAAAAATTCCATAGAGTTTTCGCGACTTTTGTCTGGGATTCCACTTGGGAACCCATGCAACGAGACAACCTTTTTCGCTCCATTGATACAGGGGGTCTTGGGCTGATTCACCTATTTTTAAAACAGGTGGTTGTTCGTTTTATGTTCTTCCGAACTGTATCCCATCATTTCCTGCGCACTTACGTGCAGGCAGAACTTTCAGAAGCTTTACCATACTTGGTAGTCTCATCTGTGCCTGTAGGTACATTGCGTCCTTTCGGTTTCCTTGGAGAGGTAGTTAGCGCGATTGAATTTTTGAAAACCCGGTTTTCTCTGGAGTATTTATTTAAAGTTCCCCGAAAAACAATTTATGCTGATCTGATAGATGTTGTTTTTCCTGTAACATTGTATCGAAGCGTATTTGGTAACGTTTTGGAACAAGATGTTTTTAAACGTGTGAAGAAAATGCGAGTGTCACCTTCTGCGAAAACCTTTTTTTTTAAACTTCACACTTCCACGCTACCTGTTAAGCCTTGGCTTCAAGAAAAAGGCATTTTCGTTCCGTGGTCAGTGAACTGCCGCCTTTGTAACCAACCGGAAACTATAGAACATTGTTTTATTTTCTGCACTGATGCTTACCTCTTCTGGGATGTGTTACAAAGAACTGTGAAAAAAGATTTAAATATAAGTGCCTACACAATCCGTTTTCTACCTTTAAACCCGAATGACAGCTTCCCTTATGATCTGTTTACACTGATGGGTTTGCATAGTCTCTGGAAAACGAGAATGATTGACAGAAATGCTGATGCTCCCCGGACAACAAAGTCGAATTTTATAGAAACTGTATCACATGTACGAAATGTATTTGACCATCTCGGTGAACGCCCAGACTGGTATGCTCTCTTAAATCGATGCATTAATCTTCCGGATTTTTAGACGTATTATTCAATACAGAATACTTTGTTGAGTTGTGAAACCGCACTCGAACCTATGAGGAAAACTAAACCCCCACGATGGTGTGACTTTAGATGAACGAAATGTATGTCGACGCCTGTACATGACACCTAACGCCAACCTTTGTGTACCGTGATTCCAAGTGCCTTGTGTTTTCTGACCAAATCCCATGTAATAAATAAAAAAAAAAAAAAAAAATTGCGACTTTAGCCTAGTGTGCTAACGCGCCATCTTGCAGAGCGTGCAGTCGTTGGTTCGAATCCCGGAAGCACTCTTTTCTTATGTTTTTGTTTTTTGTATTAGTTTTTATTATTTTAAATATTTTTTTACCTTTTGTATTAGTTTTTATTACTTTAAATATTTTTTTCTCGCCTACTTGTGTTAGTTTTTATTATTTCTAATATTTTTTTTCTCGCCATTTTGCATTAGTTTTTATTATTTAAAATATTTTTTCTCACCTTCTTGTATTAGCTTTTATATCTTTAAATATTTTTTTCTCACCTTTCTGTATTAGATTTTATTATTTTAAATATTTTCTATGTTTTTGCAGTCGTCGGCACCGTTCTTAATGGGTAATAATCACGGAGAAGGTGAAAAAAAAAAAAGTGCGAGCCCAAGTTTGAATTGTTGCAAAGCACAAACCGTGGCCCTCTTGTTTTGCCGGGATAATTCATAACCGTAGGCAAACAGTACAAGTCCTTTCAAAGAAGAAAGAAATATAATAATAATGAGCATATTGCGAGCAAAATGGGAAAATGTGTAAGTGGTAAAACTGCCACAGTAATGCAGCTGAAGTTTGTCTGAAAGCGGCCATCTTCACCCACTGTCGAATCAAAAATACCGTCATTTTAAGGCAGTAATATAGCTGACCTCATAGCGCGCTACGTATTAAGCACATCTCTTAATATTCTGACTTCCGGGAAGTAGTATTTAATTTGTTCTCGTAGATCAGTGCTATCCCCCGCGTGCCGCCAGGTTTTTGTTTATACAGGTTGCGCTCCCCAGTTTTACTTTTTTTATTAGGCCTAGACATGTTTTTATTCCTGAGATTCAAGTGCAGCACGGATAATTAAACTAGCTTTCAGAAATGGCATCGTTCAACGTTGTAACAATTATTCTTCGTAGCGTCAAGGGGTCACATTCACAAGCCCGGCAGTGTGAACATCCACAATGCAGTGGTGTTTCTCGCTTTTTTGCGTAAAAAAAAAAAAAAAGTTTTTATATTCGCGTTTCTCTGGAACGTTATGTCGTATAACATAAGTTATCAAAGCGACAGATATCGTTTGGCTATGGGAACATTCGAAATATTTCTGTTAGATAATCGTAACTACCACAGAAAGCAGTTGATTCCTGTCTGAAATAGCATATTTTCGCACTCAATTTCGTAGCGTCATAAGCAATAAACACATCTCTTACTTTTCTAGTCTCTGGAAAGTAATGTTTATTATTGTTTTTGTAACTCAAAGCGCGTGCTCAATCATGCCACTTTTTTTTTTCTTCATTTTTAGGCTCCGTTATACCGTTTTTATTTTTTATCAGGGCCAAACACCTGCGTATACCACCGGACCTTAAGTATAGTACATCAAATTAAACTAGCTTCTTAAAAAAAGTAATGTTCGGCGTTGTAAAATTTATTTTTCGTGGCGTAGGCGGTCATATTCTCAAATCCTCTGCAGCTAATTTTCTTCACCGTATTGTTTTTTCTTGCGTTTTCGCGATAAAACACGTCAGCCTTGTCATGCTGGGATAAAATACCCTAGCGTCGGCAGTCATTTAGGAAGGATTGATCAACGCAAACATTTCCACTCGCTATCCATGAATTGCCACAGTTTGTCAGAATCTCAATGACTTGACTTCATAGTGAAAAAGGCGAAACAAATAAAACGATGCCGGTCATTAAACGGATCTTCCATGACGGGGCTCGCCTGCTTGAACACCAAAGCGCCGATGCCGGCCAGTCACTGAACTTCCATGTAAATACTGGCCATCAAAGGATATATTGTCACGAATGAAGGTGACGAAAAGCCGAACAGTGAACTGAAAATAAAGATTTAATGGGCGAACTTGTGCCAACCAAAAATAAATAACGAAAGAGCGTCGAGGTAGCAGAAAAGCGGGCGGCGGTTCGGCGGCACTACAGAGCGCTAGCGAAACTGGGACTGACTCGACAAGGTCGCGGGAGCCGCTTATCTACCCTGCGTCACTATCTCGAAAGTTCGGCAAAGAAGGTTCGAGCGTCGCGCGCTCGGGGCGAGGATGAACTGGCACTTTCGAGAATAACAAAGCAGAAGGAAAGTTACGTCTGCTGCGAGAATGACCGGGAATCTTCTAGAAGACCGTGACCGAGCGTTGCCTTCTCGGCTCTGCGGGTGGCATTATCCCCCCTTTAAAAGTGCATCGCCCCGATGCAAAACGAAAGGAAAACGGAAATGGCTAAAACAATTACGGCGAAACAAAACAAACATGCAGTTTCACAATCCTAACGCGCGTAGAACGGCTTGAGTCGAACTACGTGGGCGACTTCGGGTCGTGGCTGGCGGCGTCCTGATGGGCGAGTTCCGTCGGGGAGCACCTCGTAGTTCAAGTCCCCAAGGCGGCGGATGACCTTGTAGGGTCCGAAGTAGCGTTTTAACAGTTTCTCGCTGAGGCCGCGGCGGCGAATGGGCGTCCACACCCATACCCTGTCTCCGGGCTGGAACTCCACGTCGCGGCGGCGAAGGTTGTACCGGCCAGCGTCCACTCGTTGCTGGTTCTTTATTCGAAGACGGGCTAGCTGGCGTACTTCTTCTGCTCGTTGGGTGACCAGCTGGGCGTCGTCAGTGCCGTCATCCGTCGGGTCGTGGGGCAGCATGGCGTCGAGCATCGTCGTCACCTTTCTGCCGTGCACCAGCTGAAAGGGTGTAACGCCGGTAGTTTCTTGAATCGCCGTGTTGTACGCAAACGTGACGTAGGGCAGCACTTCATCCCACGTCTTGTGTTCCACGTCCACGTACATAGAAATCATGTCGGAGATGGTCTTGTTTAGTCGCTCCGTCAGCCCGTTGGTCTGCGGGTGGTATGCCGTGGTCCGGCGGTGGTCGGTGTGGCTCAGGCGGAGTATCTCTTGTGTCAGTTGCGCCATGAACGAGGATCCTCGGTCCGTAATCAGGACTTGGGGAGCGCCGTGTCGGAGGACGATAGACTCCACGAAGAATTTGGCTACTTCCACGGCGGTCCCCGACGGGAGTGCTTTTGTCTCGGCGTACCTGGTGAGATAATCAGTTGCCACGATTATCCACCGGTTTCCCTGCGCCGACGGTGGGAAAGGTCCGAGAAGATCCATTCCAACCTGCTGGAATGGTGCAGTCGGGGGCGCGATCGGTTGCAAGAGACCTGCCGGCTTCGTCGGTGGTTTCTTGCGTCGTTGGCATTCGTGGCACGAACGGACGTAGAGGTGGACAGTCTTCGGAAGCTTGGGCCAGTAGTATTTTTCTCGGATTCGAGCAAGAGTCCTACTGTAGCCAAGGTGACCAGATGTTGGGTCGTCGTGGCAGGCTTGGAAGATCTCTTCTCGAAGACTAGCAGGAATCACTAACAACCACGTCGAGTTGTTGTCCCCGAAGTTTTCTTTATAGAGGATACCTCTCCGGACGGCGAATCTTGGCAGGTCACGTGAGAAGGCTCGGGGAATCGTACCCCCTCGTCCCTCCAAGTGGTCGATCAATGCACGCAGCTCAGGATCGTCCCGCTGGAGCGCTGCCATGCCGTGAATGCTCACCGCTCCAAGAAAGTGGTCGTCGTCGTCGTCTTTGGCACATCCGGCAGCTGACTCGACAGGGGCTCTGGACAGGCAGTCGGCGTCGCTGTGTTTTCGGCCTGACTTGTAGACCACGGTTACGTCGTACTCTTGCAGTCGTAGGCTCCATCGAGCGAGGCGTCCCGATGGGTCCTTCAGGCTCGCTAACCAACACAGCGAATGGTGGTCGGTGACCACCCGAAAAGGAGTCCCGTACAGGTATGGGCGGAATTTCGTGATAGCCCAGACGACGGCCAGACATTCCTTCTCGGTCGTTGAGTAATTGCGTTCCGCGTTCGACAGCGTCCGGCTAGCGTATGCGATCACGCGCTCCGCACCGTCTTGTCGTTGGACCAGTACCGCTCCGAGTCCTGTATTACTGGCGTCCGTGTGGACCTCCGTTTCGGCTGATTGGTCGAAGTGGCCGAGAATCGGTGGTGACTGGAGCCGTCGCTTTAGTTCGTCGAATGCCTGTTGTTGTTCTTCACCCCAGTCGAAGTTCACGGCGTCTTTCGTAAGGTGCGTTAGCGGCGCAGAAAGCTTGGCGAAATCCTGAACGAATCGCCGGTAGTATGCGCAAAGTCCAAGGAATCTTCGGACGGCAGTTTTGTCGGTGGGCGGTGGAAAGGCCGCTACGGCGCGAGTCTTCTCAGGGTCAGGACTTACACCTTCGTTGCTCACCACGTGGCCCAGGAACTTCAGTTCTCCGTAGGCAAACCGGATAATGCCACCCGCAGAGCCGAGAAGGCAACGCTCGGTCACGGTCTTCTAGAAGATTCCCGGTCATTCTCGCAGCAGACGTAACTTTCCTTCTGCTTTGTTATTCTCGAAAGTGCCAGTTCATCCTCGCCCCGAGCGCGCGACGCTCGAACCTTCTTTGCCGAACTTTCGAGATAGTGACGCAGGGTAGATAAGCGGCTCCCGCGACCTTGTCGAGTCAGTCCCAGTTTCGCTAGCGCTCTGTAGTGCCGCCGAACCGCCGCCCGCTTTTCTGCTACCTCGACGCTCTTTCGTTATTTATTTTTGGTTGGCACAAGTTCGCCCATTAAATCTTTATTTTCAGTTCACTGTTCGGCTTTTCGTCACCTTCATTCGTGACATTTCTGGTGGAGGTGCGGGGTAGCGGATACACGTCTTTCTTCGTGACCGCGTTGAGCCGCCGGTAGTCAACACAGAATCGAAGCGTTCCGTCTTTCTTCTTTACCAGCACAACTGGAGAGGCCCACGGGCTGCTCGAAGGCTGAATGATGTCGTCGTTGAGCATCTCCTGTACTTGTTCATGAATGGCCTCTCGTTCCTTTGGGGAGACCCGGTACGGCGGCCGATGCACAGGGAGCGCGTCCTCGTTGGTAATGATGCGGT